AGCAGGCTCCCCACTGAGCAGGGAGCCCGATGCGGGGCTCTGTCCCAGGACCCTGGGATCATGACCTGATGAGCCCAAAGCAGATGCTTAACCGACTGAACCAGTCAGGTGCCCCCATTCTCAGCCATTCTTGCTTTTTCTTTTATTTGACTCCTGTTGCATTTATATTATCATTAATGCTAGCTCTGAAACTCAGCAAATGTGAAATAGTCGAAGAAAATCTCCCCAGTTTATTTGCACAGACATTGTTTTCATTCACATAATAACAGAGTGTCTTAGCTAAATGCCAATCCCTGGTGATAAAATTGTGGGTAAAATAGGCATGTCTTTAACCTTTCGAGCCCTTACAATGTGTGGGAACCTTTAGGATTATAAACACGAATAACTTAGACTTAAACTAAAAAGAGTCTCAGCATTTATTCCTCTCTTTCTCCTTCTGGAGTAGGGGGTCATCTTTCCATCGTCGGAGAGCAAGACTAATTCAAGCATTGATCCTCCTCCTTGTGGACTGTTGTAATAACTGCCCTTTCACTTCCAATCCATCAAACTCATTCTTGGCAGAGAGCTTTTAAAAACACAAATCTGATATAATTCCTCTCCAGCTCTCTCAGATTCCAGTTCTGATTCTCTAGCATATCATTAAAAAGTGCTTTCTTAATCACAGCCTGCTATTGCCGGCCTCATGGTTATGCTGTTTGCTCTAGCTCCTGGGCTCTCCACTCTTCACATTTTGAGGCTTTCCCTAATATAACCACTATTATTCCATCCCCAGCAGAACCACTGAACCCTCCTGTATTTTTTTTATATATTTTGCAACAGTTTTAATATTGTATTACATTGGCTTGTTTTTTATTGCTACACCCTCTGCTAGACTCAGAGGGTCAAAAGTAGAAAGTACCATGTCTTCTCATTTTAATCACAGTACTTTTGCATATCCCTCCCTGACTTATGGTAGACATCAATAAATGTCTGAACTGAATTTGAAGATACAGTTTCCAAAGTCAGAAAACTCATATTTTACTAGATAGATGCACATCTACATATATAACACTGGGTAGTATATATTGATGCTAAATAAAATTATAAATTTCTTGAAATTATGATCACGTTCATCCTTCTTCCATATCCTTAACCCTGTTCTCCATCCTGACATTTTACTGGGTCCATAATTCCTCTTCACGTGCTTGACTGAATGAAGGAAAGAAGGCGTATCAGCAGTCTAGTGGACTTTACCTCCCATTATTACAAGCTTATATTACTCTAAAACCCTTTAAGAATGCCACACCTTCTGGTAATTGACCAGAAGAGAGATACTACAGGTATGAAGTACCATGAACAGGGGCGCCCGGCCGGCTCAGTCAGTAGAGCATGCAACTCTTGATTTTGGGATTGTGAGTTTGAGCCCCACGTTGGACATAGAGATTACTTAAATAAATAAATCTTAAAAAAAAAAACTGCATTAAAAAATACAAACAGAGAAAGCACACCATGAGAGGAAATATGAGCCCCCATACAAAGGCCATAAAGGCAGATTCTTCCAGTTGGAGGCGTTTTCTAGCATATGCAGTTTTAGTCCAAGGTGACTAATAACACAGCTGTTTGCAAAAAAAAGACTGTGAAGAATTACTTATTTGAAGAAATTAAATTTTTGCAGAGACCATTAGGTAAATTTTAATTTTTTTATTGTTATGTTAATCATCATACATTACATCATTAGTTCTTGATGTAGTGTTCCATGATTCATTGTTTGTGCATAACACCCAGTGCTCCACGCAGAACGTGCCCTCCTTAATACCCATCACCAGGCTAACCCATCCCCCCACCCTAGACCATTAGGTAAATTTTAAACTACGTTTCTACTCTCGTCTTTTTTTCTTGTGGAAAATAAATTTCTTCTCAAGCAGGTATTTATTTATAAGCAGAATTTTTTATTCATTTATGTCTTGTTTTTACACTTGTTAACTGCACCTGAACTTAGAATTTTATGGCCATAATTTCTCATGGAACTTCATACACTCTTGGACATCCACTAACTTTTATTTTATTTTTAAAGATTATTTATTAGAGTGGGAGTGCGTGATTGGCGAGGGGTGGTGGGGTGGGATATCTTCAGCAGACTCCCCACTGAGTGTAGACCCTGAAATGGGGCTTGATCCCAGGACCCTGAGGTCATGACCTGAGCCGAAATCAAGAGTTGGATGCTTAGCCAACTGAGCCACCCAGGTGTCCTGGACATCCACTAACTTTTAAATCAAATGTATTTAAAACACCAATTTTTATCTATAAAACTTAGTAAGAATTATGAAATGTTTGGTACAACCTTAATACCTAATTTGCAGTTGATGGGTTCTTTTTTTTTGTTTGTTTTTGGAAAAAATTTTGATTTCAAGTCAGTGCCTTTGGAAAAAAATACTTTTTATGTATATTGGATACAGTGGTTTTATTTGAATTCTGCCAGATCAAAACTACTGGAAATGAGGTATTGGTCTGAGGGGAAAATATTGTAATTATGAGGCAGAAGCAAAGCATAGGGGCAATCTGGCATAAGGTTTTTTTTCTCCCCCCATACCAGAAGTCTTTAAAAATAATATTTGAAATGATTCTTGGGCTAGTGGATTACTTTTTTTTTCTTTTTTGAGTTAACTCATTGGTAGTTGTTCTAATTACCTTGCAAAAGCCAGATTTTTTAAATTGACATGGGGAAAAAACTGCCATCTTTTGATTGGAACATTTAGTAATGTACCCCTATTAACTCTGTACTGATTGTTAATTCAGTATTGCTAATTTGTGAGGCTTAGAACTTCGACTTAGTTTCTTTGTATTTGTTAAAACTCAAAGTACTCCAGAGCTATAAATCATTCTGAGTGAATGTACTAAAAGATTTTATTCTCTGTTGATTGCCTCATGGTTTTTTTTTATTATATATTTTAATCAACTGCATGTTCATTGATTCTGGCTGCTATATTTTAGCGATTAAAATTCTTCAAGACTACATAATTTTAAAGGACCTGTTCCCCTCTGGACAGTGAATACGCTATTGGCTGATAGTTGCTTTTGCTTTATGGCTTTGAAAGACAAAAATCTAAATTCTTTTAGAACGTAGGAAAGCAGTACTCTGAAATTATAATTTATGTGGATGAAAGATATTAGTGTTTTGTTTGTTTCTCCACAGTATTGTTAAATTTTAAATAAGAATTTTCCCAAGTATTAGTTTATAAGTCATCTATCAGGAAAGGGAATATTTTATTAAAACCCATAATCTGTTTTACTAGAGCCAAGACTTTGACATTGTAAGAAGAAATCGTTAGATTTACGTAATTAGTAAAATTAACACTTAAATAGGTACTTGTAGGAGTAGATTTTTTTTTCTACATGAATGTTTCCATTGATTCCCCATCCCCCAGGAACTAATTTGTGGTTAGGTATCTAGTTCCCTTCCTTAAGCAGTAATTTTCATTTTCTTTTCAGGGGTTGCAAAGTCTTATTTACAGAAGCTGTGCAAGAAGGGCAAATGAGAAAAGCAGGCTAATGTGATACAAGAAGGGATGGTGGGGCCTGAGACAAAGTGAAATTTTATGAATCATTTAAATATATATAAATTTCTTTATTTTTCTTTATTTTTTTAATAAAGATTTTATTTATTTATGAGAGAGAGAGAGTGAGAGAGGAAACACAAGCAGGAGGAATGGGAGAGGGAGAAGCAGGCTTCCCGCCGAGCAGGGAGCCCAATGCGGGCTCTATCCCAGGATCCTGGGATCATGACCTGAGCCGAAGGCAGATGCTTAACGACTGAGCCACCCAGGCGCCCCTAAATATATATAAATTTCTTTAAACCCTTGTGCTATCAAAACAAAAAAAACCTTTGCCATGTGACTTTGCAACCTCTAGTTTATATTCATTCAATAACAAATTTTAATATTTGTATGTGGGTTATTTTTAAATAATAAATGTTTGTAATTATTGTGCTTATCTATATACATTTGTGTGGGCCACATGCTATTTTGATGGATTTTTTAAAAAACTAAACCAAATGAGGTAAAAACACTCTTACCTGATTCCTGAACCTTTTCCTCATGGCTAGTCTTAATCCCTATATTGATATTCAAGGGTAGGGTTGGCTTGATAGATGGATGAAGGGTAGAGATTGTGTATTTTGACAGTTGTATCAAATCAACTCTATAAAAATATGACCTAAAGTCTAGCATTGTAGAGTTTGGAGGAAATTCATATTTTTCAGCTTTATTAACATTTATGTTGGGTTCATAAAACAACAACAACAAAAAATTTAAAAAGAAAACTATATCTCACCCTATTCATTGTTCTATGTATTTATATACTTTACAGCCTGAGGAAGAACTTGATCCTGAAGAGAGGGACAACTTCCTCCAACAGCTGTATAAGTTTATGGAAGACAGAGGTATTTCATGCTCATTATTTAAAAGTAGTTATTTCTTTTACAGTTTTACATTGTAGGTTTATGCATTATTTTTATTAGAATCATGGGTATATAAATTTGGATTTTAAGTAAAGCCTAAGAATTAGTTACAGTTGAAAATAAGTATTTGGAATGAAAACAACTATTAATACTTATTTTGAGCAGAAATATATAGGAAAATTGTATGGGTATAATTATACTTAGTCTGCTTGGGACTTACAAAACCAAAAAATGTTATAATAATATTTCAGTAATGGAAAGGGAACAGTCGTCATATTAATCTATATGCCCATTAGTTACTAATGCTGTCTTTGCAGCAAGTAAACTAGCCTGATCCTTCGTCTCAACAAATGAAACAAAGTAGGAGATCAATTCCTATCTCACTAGAAATAGGAATTTTTTTTAAGATTGTATTTAGTTGAGAGAGAGAGAGTGAGAAAGAATGAGCAGGAAGAGTGGCAGAGGGAGAGGGAGAAGTATACTCCTTGCTGAGCAGGGTGCCCGACTCAGGGCTCGATCCTTAGGACCCCAGGATCATGACCTGAGCCAAAGGCAGACGCTTAACCAACTGAGCCACCCAGGCACTCCTAGAATAGGATTTATAATAGAGTTAAAAGAAATATGGGCTTTATCAGTTATTCTACTTTTTGACTTTACATAAGTCCTGGAAAATCCTCCAGTAAATTGGTCCTAGGAATTCTGTGACTTTGAGAAATCATCCTTCAGGTTACTGCTAACAGTCTTAACACTTGTGTTCAAGCAGTGAAAATGGATCTATGCCCTAAATTGTACCCTTTCCATTGTGTATGTTCTTGCCCAGGCTTCTTGAACCAGAAATATTGTTGGCTATGCCTTGCAGTTGTAGGTTTTAGTTCTACCCTATTCAGTGACAGGTGATTTTATTAGTCATAGAGGTAAATCTAGAGACTGCTACAATGCTGTATAAAGAATATAGAGAATATTTTGTGTTGCCTTACATAATTTAAGGGCCTTTAAATATATGCTTCTGATTAATAAAATTTGGGAAATTAGAAATTGGAAAGGTTTGTACTGATAGCCTTGTAACAGCATTTTCCATGCCTTCATGTTAAAAAGGTACTCCAATCAACAAACCACCTGTTTTGGGCTATAAAGATCTCAATCTCTTCAAACTCTTTAGACTGGTTTATCATCAAGGCGGATGTGACAATGTGAGTAAGGATGTAATGAAAAGTTAAATTATCTAATGTTGCATTGTTTAATGCACTGTAGGTAATAAACACATTTTCTTAATGAACCTAGAATATTAGTGTAAAGATTATTTCCCTTTGTAAATGTTAACAAATAAAAACTTAATTTTCCAGATTGATAGTGGTGCTGTATGGAAGCAAATTTATATGGACCTTGGCATTCCTATTTTGAATTCAGCTGCTTCCTACAATGTAAAAACTGCTTATAGAAAGTAAGTAGTATAGTTTATTCATCAAAGAATACATATTACAGGAATATTTTCCATTTAATTTGTTAACAATTAAACAAGAACACAACAAAGAACAATGAAGTTAGAGAAAGTATATAAAAAGGTTTAGGTTAATAGAGACGTGTGACTGAACGATATTTCATTGCACCAGGTCGGCTTTACTCCATTTTTCATGTTGTCCTGATTTCCTTTTCAAAGTCAGGGATCCAGCAGTGTTCATAGTCTGAAATGATGATACGTGTTATAGAGCTGTATCGTTTATGGTGAATAGCCTTCATATCAAAACTATGATAGCTATGTTCAGTTATCACAGGTGCAGATTTTTCAGGAAGAAATTTTATCAATATTTCTGTTGATAATCCTGTATAAAACACTGAGAAATTAGTAACATAGAAAAAGTACTTAAAAAAAAGTCTTGAGTTTTACTTTTTAAAAATCTGTGTGTATTTAATAATATTCAAGTTCAGTGTAAAGACTAAGATTTCCTAAAATGAAATATTGTTTGTTTAGGTATCTCTATGGTTTTGAGGAATACTGCCGTTCTGCAAATATTCAGTTCAGAACTGTTCACCACCATGAACCAAAAGTAAAAGAGGAAACAAAAGACTTAGAAGAATCAATGGAAGAGGCTCTAAAAGTAGATCAAGAAATGCCTTTAGTAGAAGTGAAGAGTGAACCTGAGGAAAATATTGATTCAAACAGTGAAAGTGAAAGAGAAGAAATAGAATTAAAATCTCCACGAGTAAGTAGTTAATATTAGTTTTATCTGGTTTATTTTAAACATTACTTATAATTTTTTATTATGGACATTTTCAGATATACACAAAAATAGTCTGGTGAACCCAGTTTATTTTCCAGTATTGAGTTGTGCTTTAGGCAGACTAGTCTGGCTGTTTTTTCCAAATATAGTAAATATTATTTCTTCTAGCTGAAAAACCATTCCTCCTGTTGTTTTCTATTTATGTCTTTTCAAGTCGTTCTCATCTGGGGTCAGTCTCACATATTTACCTTCTTCAAGTCTTTTTTTTCTTTTTTTTGATTTTTGTTTTTTAAAAAGATTTTATTTATTCATTTGAGACAGATACAGAGAAAGAGAGAGCATGAACAAGGGGAGAGGCAGAGGGAGAGGGAGAAGCAGGCTCCCTGCTGAGCCAGGAGCCTGATGTGGGGCATGACCTGAGCCAAAGACAGACGCTTAATGATCTGAGCCACCCAAGTGTGCCTACTTCCTTCAGGTTTTGCTAAATAGTTGCCTCACTGAAGCTTATCCTGGTCACCTTATCTAAAATTGTAATGTACCTCCTCTCTTTGGTATTTGCAATCCCTCTAATGTTGCTCTTTTTATCTGTAATTTACTTTATATTCTCTTAATTATATTTGTTTCTTTTACCCCAGTCTGCACTAGAATCACACTCCAGAAGGGCAGGGATTAGTCTTTATTCTGTTCATTGACAGATCCCAGGCATCGAGAATAGTGCTTGATCTACAAGTAAGGGCTTATTAAATAGTTGTTGAGTGAATGAATCTCCTCTTCATAATACTTGTGCCTCCAACTGGGTGGGATCTTTTTTCTCTGTTACCCTACAGCACATTGCACATACCTTTCTTGTGGCAGTTTTTTATGCTTCATCTTATTTTCTAGTCACGTGCACACTGCTTTTATCTTCTAACTCTGCTCCATTAGTATATAAGTCCCTTGTAGAGATTGTTATCCACTATTTTGATCGTTGACGAATGGTGTCTACATAGTAGGATTTATCAAATTTTAGGAGAAAAAAATTTATCACCTATCAAAGGAATTCAGTTACTGTGAGATCTTATTTTTGAGTGAAATCATATTTAGTGAAAGAGGAGATGAAATTACCTCTTTTAGTTGCTCAGAAACCATTTTTTAAAACTCCATTTTAACCACCATCCAGTAAGTGGAATCTTCTAGTGAATTTCATGAAACATTCAAATTGGTTTGTTCATTTCTTTTTTAATTTTTTTTTAAAGATTTTTTATTTATTTATTTGAGAGAGAGAGAATGAGAGACAGAGAGCATGAGAGGGAAGAGGGCCAGAGGGAGAAGCAGACCCCCCGCCGAGCAGGGAGCCCGATGTGGGACTCGATCCCAGGACTCCAGGATCATGACCTGAGCTGAAGGCAGTCGCTTAACCAACTGAGCCACCCAGGCACCCTCTTTTTTAATTTTTAAAACTGTGATAAATACACATAATAGGTATCATCTTAACCATTTTTTTTTAAAGATTTATTTATTTGACAAAGAGAGACACAGTAAGACAGGGAACACAAGCAGGGGGAGTGGGAGAGGGAGAAGCAGCCTTCCGGCGGAGCAGGGAGTTCAATTGGGGCTCACTCCCATGACCTTGGGATCATGACCTGAGCCGAAAGCAGACAATGACTGAGCCACCCAGGCGCCCCTCATCTTAACCATTTTTAAATATACAGTTCATTCACATTTTGTGCACTCATCACCATTGGTCCCTCTCCAGTACCTCTTTCATCTTGCAAAACTGAAACTAGCCATTAAGCAGTAACTTCCCATTCCTCTCCTCCCCAGCTTGTGGCAACCACCATTCTACTTTCTGTCTCTATGATTTTGACTCTAGGGACCTCATCTCATATAGGTGGAATCCTACAGTTTTGTCCTTTCTGACTGGCTTATTTCACTCAGTATAATGTCTTCCAGGTTCAATCCATGTAATGTGTCACAATTTCCTTCCTTTTTAAGACTGAATAATATCCCCCATTATATGTATTTTGGACATACTTTCTTATTATTATTAAAGATGTTCCTCATCTTATGGAAAATATCTGCATAGTACTGCATAGTATGGATGTACCATAGATTTACCTTCCTTAAGAATTTCTCCAATTTTTTACGATTAAAAAAGTGCCACAATAATTATCCTTGTAAAAATTCCTCCTCATTTGTCTGAATATAGAAGGCAGACTTCTACAAATGGGATTTCTAGGGTGCCTGGCTGTCTCAGTTGGAAGAGAATGCAACTCTTGATCTTGGGGTTGTGAGTTCAATCCCCATGTTTTGAGATTACTTAAATAAATAAACTTAAAAAAATAAAAATAAAATCAAAGTGGGATTTCTGGGACAAAGGTATATAAGCCTAACGTGTGATAGATAGCAGTTGTTTTCATTCATTTACCTACAAGTATTTAAAGAACAGCTGCTCTATTGCTCAGAGACCTTTAGGTTCCCATCTACTTTAAGATCACTCTCTTGGCAACTAGGGGATTAAAAAAAAGATGCTTATGTGTTGCTAGTACACAATTTGAGAATATGGTTTCTAATGGTTGGATTTAGAGGGACCCTTCTTAAAGAATGAGTTATGTATCTCCTCAAGGAAATCATGGAAAATTCTGTTTATTCTTCAGTGAGTCCTTTTGAATTAATGTTCTTACATTTTTTTCTAAGTCTGTGTAAGTGCTTATGTATAAGTATATAATTGTATAAATATTTATAAATATATTTATATAATTACAATTTCATTTAAAAAAATAAAAAAATAAAGAACAGCTGCTCTGTGCATAGGATATAGAAGTGAATAAGACAGAGTCTCTGCCCTCATGGGATCTACATTCTAGTTCTTTGTGATAAGAAAAATACATGTTTTTTCCAACTCTGAACCTTAAATAGCACATAGTTAGGATCGAGGGAAAACATCTGTTATATTGAGATATTAATTGTAATGTATTCTAGTGCTCCCTAAGTTGTTGACCCCTTTTCTATCCTCACTTTATTCCAAGTAGAGGGGAACTCTGCCAGTGTGAGAAGATGGACTTGAGGGAGAATTTAGGAGAGAATGAAATGACTCACCAGTTTCATGGTCAGTTGAGCATGCAGGAGGCTAGATGAAAGCTTTTTTTTTTTTAAAGATTTTATCTATTTGACAGAGACAGCGAGAGAGGGAACACAAGCAGGGGGAGTGGGAGAGGGAGAAGCAGGCTTCCCGCTAAGTGGGGAGCCCGATGTGGGACTCAATCCCAGGACCCTGGGACCATGACCTGGGCCGAAGGCAGACGCTCAACCGACTGAGCCACCCAGGCACCCCTAGATTAAAGCTTCTTGGGGGAAGAACAAGTTACTGCTGGCCCAGTGAGCTCTCCAGATACTCAAAGAAATCAGCTGACTTTTTGGCCATTGATGCAATTCACTCCTTTCATTTTTTATTTTTTAAATTTATTTTTATTTTCAAGAGTGCAGGGGTTGGGGGTAGGCAGAGGGAAAGGGAGAGAGAATCTAAGGTGGGCTCCACACCCAGTGCAGAGTCCGATGCGGAGGCTTAGTCTCACAACCCTGAGATCATGACCTGAGCTAAAATCAGGAGTTGGACACCCAACCGACTGAGCCACCCAGGTGCCCCTGTTCAGTCCTTTTAAAATGTAGTCACGTAGGAAGTGATAATGTAAATTTTATCTTAAAAATGGGAGAATTAGAGGGGCGCCTGGGTGGTATGGCTAATAAGTAAAGGGGATTAAGAGGCACAAACTAACAGTTATAAAATAAATCACAGGGATGAAAAGTACAGCATAGGGAATATAGTCAATAATATTGTGATGACTGGTGACAAATGGTAACTACACTTGTGAGCACTGCATAGTGTATATAATTGTCAAATCACTGTGCTGTACACCTGAAATTAATATAACGTATGTCAGCAATTAAAAAAATTTATTGTAGTCAAGAAATATTAAAAGTGACATAAAATAATGTAGTGAACAAATGAGGAAATTTTTATTTTTTCTGTAGCATGTAGCCAAGGATCATGGTAGGCATGGACATAATTAAGTAATTTACATGGGTTGAAAGGAGAAGTACACAAGGGTTGATGGGTTGTCATTGTCGTGTCTCAAGCCAGAGAAATGACTAGTCATTGCTGTGAAGGTATAAGAAAAAGAAGCATCTTCTGCCTTTTTTCCCCCCTTTGTTTGTAGTGATAGCTATTTTAAAGCTTTTACCCCTTCTACTAGGGACGAAGGAGAATAGCTCGAGATGCACATTCTATTAAAAAGGAAATTGAAGAAGAGAAAACAGAGGACAAATTAAAAGACGATACAGAAAATAAGGATGTAGTTGATGATTATGAAACTGCAGAGAAAAAAGAAAATGAGCTACTACTGGGGAGAAAAAACACACCAAAGCAAAAGGAGAAGAAAATTAAAAAGCAGGAGGATTCTGATAAAGACTCAGATGAAGAGGAAGAGAAAAGCCAAGAGAGGTACATTATCTTATATTTGTTCTCCAGAAGCACCTGTCTGGGGTACAGCAGCGCTCTGTTCCTGCTTAGAGATTCAGGTTTGAGGGAATGTTTTCTTATTGGGACTTCCATTCCTCTTGTCTGATGAAGGTGAGACACATTGTGAAGATGATGTGTATCGCCTTTCGGAATTGGAGAATATACTGGTCGCACCATTTTAATAGCACTTGTGCCCTAAACAGTGGCCTCAAAGAAGGCTGCGCCACCCAGTCAAAAGAAAGGTCCTGCAGTTGACAGCAGGGAAGGGAGCTGGAGAAAAATGGAGGAAGTGGACAAGAGGAAACAGCGACAGCAAAAATTCCATTTTAAAAAAGGTACAATGTGGGAAAGCTAACAAACACATGGGTGCACAGTACTAGCAGATGTTTCTGTGTGTTAGCTTGATCTAAGACATTTTTCTTTTTCAAGTTATTGTATTGAAATAAGTGGCATGCACCCCTGATTCTAGTTTGGAAAATACATTCTTGCCCCACATCACACCAGTAAATTTCAGTTTTTTTTAATGTTCATCCTGTTTGCTGTTGAGTGTTGGTATTTTTTTTTTCCATGTATTATACATGTGTGGACTGAACTGACTTAAAAATAACCAAAGATGAGGCAGTCCAGCTAGATCAAAGTAATGTCCGACTGTGTTTAGTTGGCCATTTCTGTGTTGTCAAATGGATTTACTAATTTTTATATGCTACTAAAAAATGAATTTTAATTCAGCAACAACAGCATAACACATGTTCTTGTAACATAAGCTCTTCTCCATAGTTACTTTTCAATTATTACATTATATGATGATAAATTTTCTAGAAATTTGAGTTGTT